AGCCTTGGGCACCTTCTGCGTCGCCACTGCAGGGTTGGACTTCTTGGCCTTCTTAGCAGGGGTGGACGCTGTGGAAGGAACGTTCGGTACCTTAGGTTTCGGTTTCAACCTCTCGGTATCGGAAACAGACTTAGCCTTCGACGTCGACGGTTTCGATGCCGATGCGTCGGTAGCGGAAGACATGGCGACGGAGGAAGAGACCGACGGGTCAGCCATCGGTTGAAGCGTTTTCTCCAAGAGGAAAACTCTTAAACGTGCCGCTCTGTTCTTCCGGGTTTGGTTCGAGAACTGCGCACAATGTTCACAAGAGTCTGGCTTGTGGGTCTCCCCAAGACAGAAAATACAGTACTTATGGCCGTCTGGAGGAGCCAATTTACTTCCACAAGTACCACAACGGTTGAAAAATCCCCACTTCTTTGAGTTTCTTGTCTTCTTCTTCTCCATAGACTGAGGAGAAAAAGACCAGCGACAAGGAGGGAGGGGGGTTGGGCCAGCGGCCCAGAGGCCTGAGGCAATTTTACCTCAGACGACGAAAACAAAAAACTCTCCTTTAAAAAAAAAAACACAGAAAAAGAAAGAGAAACTGAACAAAAACTGAGGCGAAAAACGAGAGCTAATCACTAAAAAGTGATCCAAAAGCAGCGATCCGGCCAGACCTCTCGAAGAAAGGTCTGCTCAGCGCAGCGGAAAGGAAAGAACTGGCGGGATGTCTGTGCCTGCCCTTCTGGGCATGCTCACTGGGGCTCCTGAGCATGCTCAGTTGGGCCAGGCACGAAAATCCTTTTAAGAGAGCTTGCTAGGCACCGGCAGATCCAGCGCAGTTGCACTAGATCCCAGTGGACCCATTGGTGTGAAGCACCGAGACCACGGAGAAGATCTGTTGGTTTTATTTAATTGCTTGCTAGTTAAGTTGAATATGGAAAGGAAACAGTAAATAAATAAGTTCTGCTTCTTAAGAGATAGTATTTTTCTCTGACAAACTTTATATAAGCATCAACATTAAAGACTTCATGTCACAAAAAATGTATTATTTGGCCAAGGCAGAAAAATAACAATCCCACTGTCACAATTCTGACAACAAGCACAAATGAACAGAAAATCTGATTGCAGTAACTTTAGAAGACTATGTGGATTTTGTTGTGCCCCCAAGGATGCAGCTACATTAGCAGCCCTGACAGTGATCCCCAAGCCATCCAAAGAGGTTGATAGTCTTTCAGAACTCTCCACAGCAGCAGTTAGTGCTGCAATATCCCAGCCTCTGCTCAGTGGTACTGAGTTCCTGATGGCAGTTTATTACCCAGGATTGTTATTCACAGCAGTCACTGCACATAAGAAATGTGAAAAAGAGCAAGAGTTGGGACTGCATCCTTCAGTTAGTCCACTCCACTAGATCAATTATTGTTGATAGCGCAAAGCAATGAAAGAAAGATGAAAAGTTGTGGAGAAAATAGGACTTGCAATTTTATCAACTGAAAAGTAATACTAGATACATAGAAGCCTAACTGTGCACCAAGTATGTTTGATAGAACAACACCCCCTTCAAATAAACAACAACAACAAAAAAGGCTACCGCAGACAACTTGCAAAGAAAGTGAGGTGATTATACCCAGTGGCCCACTTCCTCATCCCCTGGTCCCCAAGGCAACAGGAATGTGGCTACTTGATGACCTACAAATGTATGATACATCAGAGACGTGCATGTTTTCCCAGCTTCCAACTCTCCAGAAATGGAGAACAGTTTGGTCATCTCACCCCACTGGAAAGGACTCTGAGGTATGACAGATGGGGTTCAGAGTGAGAACTGTTTATTCATCTAAGCTCCATCCTCCATCAATATATTTGAAGCCAAGGCTGTTCTCTTAAATAACCTTAGCTTGGGGCACACAACTATACATGAACCTGACAGGTATCAGCCTTTTACCACAGCTGTTTTGATTTACACTCGCAAAGACTATCTTGTTCAGTGATCAATGTAGATTTCCAAATTTAACACTAAAATTTGTGTACATGTTCCCTTTTTAATTATTTTATTATTATGCATTCCAATTTTATCCTACCCCCAGTGACTTTATCCTCACATTAAATCTGTGATGAAAATTGGGCTGAGAAAGTGACTGGCACAATGTCATCCAGTAAGCATCATGTTAGGGATCTAAAATCAATACTTTTTAAAGTATTACACTACTGTGGCCCTCTGTAGCTTTTAATTTTTCTACAGATTTTTATTTTCTATTTATGACTACACTAGGCAAATGCAGATATCAGGCATGGGGAAAAAGAAAAGCAAATATAAACAGAGGGTAAAAGCAACAGTTGTCATTTAGTAGAAAGTTTAATACTATCAATCTTTTTTCCAAATTTTTCCACAGTATTCTGTAATATTGACCAAACTCCCCTCTGTACCAGGAGGCTTCCTCTAACTTTTTGGTTTCCTGATGCCATTTTAGCACACTCTAGTGTTACTCATAGTTGGCTAAGTCCTGCTTCAAATTATTTTGGTATTGGACAAGTTTATGAAATCAAGGCTTCAAAAACCTAATATCCAGAGAGAACTACTAAAGTTAGGGAAAGGTAAGAGATATATGAAAGATTTATTTGACTGAAAAGTAACATGAAGTCCAATTAATATGTAATGTTCCTGATCTCATAACCCCAATGAGATCAGCAGCATGTTGTGAGTATGTGAGCTCTCTCACCACATTGTATACCTTCTTCCATTCATGGTTTGCTTTAATCATCAGGATCCAGTTACATCAGGATCCAGTGCCCTTGTAACCAGAATCTGAAGTGAGTCTGCCAACCATGGTTATAAGGACAACCCTGATCAGTATGAGCCATGGCTACTAACGGTGTAGACATAATACTACAACTTAAATAAAGCAAATAATAGATGAGTGGGGGAAGAGAAAGTATAAGAGTGAGCAGCTTGCTTCCTATCTCCTAACCATGTTTAGGAAATCGGGAGTATCACATTTTCATCAGGCCTAAATGCTAATATTCTCAAGCAAAATTATCGATAGTTCAGGGCTGAATAATGGCTTTGTAAAAAAACAAATCTGTGTGGTACCTGTGGTGAAATGTTTGTGGACCAACAAGTATTAAGGGAGGAGGATGGTGATTTTGCTTAATTCCTCTTCCTCAGTGCAGCCTTCTAACTTGAATGGCTTTTGCACATTCAGCTCTCATGGCCCTGGTCACACGGGGGGGGAAAGCACGGCCAAAGCGTGGCTTTTCTGAGCCGCAGCAAAATAGACGCGTGGCGGCAGGATCAGATAGATCCCCTGAGCCGCCGCGCAGTTGCTCACCGGCACGATCAGATGCCGGAGAAGCCACGGGACGGAGAGCAAGGCAGCCGGCTGCGCATGTGCGCGCATGTGCAGTTTGGCCGAGAGCCTCGAATGCTGCAGAAGATGGGTGCACCGGCAATCCCATGGTCGCCCTTGCTGCGGAGCTTCAGGTAGGTAGTACTCTTTTCTAGGTTTTTTTAAAATGCGCGTTTCCCCCCGGAAAGGATGGATCGGGGACGGGTGAGCTCCGCTTCCCAGATGTTGCAGTGTGATTGCGCCCATTTGATGTGCCCCTGATCCATCCCTCTTGCAGGGCAAAACCTCCTGTGTGACCGGGGCCCATGACTCCATATGTCATCTTATCAGGGATCAAAAGAAACTTCTGAGGGAAGGGAAATGTATGGGGAAATCTATATCCTTCATCACCTTCTGCTGCCAGTTGTTTAGAAACAACCTGAAATTTGCAGACTGCATAAATATTTATTTAGACATTTATACACTACTTTTCTTACACAAAGCAGCTTACAACACTGTTCTCCTCTGCTCCATTTTATTCTCATAATAACCCCCTGAGGCAGGTGGGACTGACAAGCTGAGAGAGACAGGGAGCTTCCATGGATGACTGGGATTCAATCGATTTGATTTTTATCCCACCTTTCCAGGGCAGAGAGAATTCACAAACAATGCATCAATTCTTCCCTACTGCTCATTCCAGGAATTGGCTTTTAGTAGCATACTGCTTTTTAATGTGGTAGTTTCACCGTGGCAAATAGCTACTGAAAGATCTGTTCTCAATGAATTTGTCTCACCATTTGAAAGCAATAGAAATTATTGGCCATCGCTGCATCTTTTGGCAATGAATTCCATAAGTTGTGAACTGTGAGGATGTTTTTTCTTTTCTCAGTCTACAATTGACTCTGAGGCAGTTATCAGGTTTTTAGTCAAGGCAGCGTCTACAGGTAATGACTCGGCTAATTATAGGTCTCTTTCAAATCTTCCCTTTCTGGGAAAGGTTGCTTTCCCAGAAATATTTGGATAAGACACCTGCCTTTGATCTTTTTCAAGCCAGCTTCAGGCCTCCATTTGGGATAGAGATGGCTTTAGTGGCACTTGTGGAAAATCTCTGTCTTCACAGGGATAAAGGGACTGCATCTCTACTGATCATTTTCTTTAACCAGTTACAATCCATAAGATGACCTGTCCTCTTATGCATGATTTCTAAGTTTACTCATGAGTCTTTGCTGAAGGCAAAAGCTTTTTGGAAGTGCATACTATTTTTGGCTCACCCGTATGTACATATCTGTTGACACTCAAAAGAATAACATCTAGAATATTGGTGAGGAAGGACTCTCTTTGCAGAAATCATGCTGATTCATCTTCAGCAAGATGTATTCTCTTATATATTTAACTATTCCAGTTTTAAGTGGTGGCAGGAAGACCCCACCAACTGTTCAGCCAGCTGCTGGGACCAATCAACAGGGACAGAGGCCCTTTTGGGAAAGATGCCAAATATTGGGACCAAGGAAAAGAAGAGAGGGAGGCTAGCAGTTGCAATCTGCCTACGCATGGGCAGGTTGGGATGAGGCTGGTGTGTGTAGGAAGTACTACCCAGTATGCGGGAACACATCCTCAGATGGATGAAAGGTCGGGAAAGGCCAGTAGGGGCTTCCAGGAGCAGCTGGCTATGTATGACTGGGCATGAAAGGTAGCCCGGAAGGATATGGGGTTGGACTAGCAGGGGAAGGAAGAGAAGGCATGAGAAGGCAGCATGAAGGAGTGAGGCAACTACTTCTCAGAGTACGCTCAGGGTACCCTTTGGATTGCGCCTGAAGCTCAATAAACCCCTGTGAGTCAGCAGCATTCTAGGCTCCATGTTTATTTTTTTCCTTGAAACTATTGGCCCACAACAATGGGCCATAAAGCCATTGTAACTTGAGAAATTATATGGGAGTTTTTAAACAAGTAAAGATGATTTAAATACCAACTTTTTGTTGTCTTTATTATACAAATGCAAAATATGTAAAACAACAAACCACAGGTCCTAGAATGAATTTATATATTTATGTCAACTTATATGCTACAGATTATTATTTTTTTTGCATGAAACATTCACAGACAAACTGTTTTCAGCTGGTTGTTGACATAATCTAATTTAGGCCCACCAGAGATATGTTATATCCCTGACAATGAAAGAGAAGAACTTGTGGTATCACAGTTTTGTTTCTAGACAAAGGAAACAATGGAAGACAGACTAAATCTATATAACATCAAGAAACAATGAAGACAGACTAAATCTATATAACGTTGGGAAAATGTTAGCTTACGCAATAGAACTTACCAAAGGTACAGCTCTTGATGGCTCCAAACTAGGCCTGGGGGCAGTTGAATACATGTAGTTAAATAGGCGGTCTATTTTTCTCAGAGGCACACCACCCCCTTTATCGCTTATCTACAGAACAAAATCAAGGTTTCATTTAAACAGGTCCTGCAAGGACCTGATGCAGTTTACGTTATAGGAATCAGAGAAATCATTTAACAGGTGGTGTTAATAACAAAGTTTTTTTAAAAGTCAGTCTACAGCAGAAGCAAAATGTGAAATATTACCAAGCAATAGAATAAGAAAATCTTCAGGTTGAAAGTGAACAGTGAACCAACTATTCCAGAACTTTAAAGTCTATGCATTAAACTACACTTTACAGGTTAACCAAAATTATTCTGATTAAAATGTACTGTGAGCAGGAAAGCATATATGAACAGGCTCATGTCTGAATGCCTGTTCAATTCATGGTACAGTTTAAAAAAAAGTTATCCAAAGAAAACACAATTAAAACAAATGCAAAAGAGATTTAAAGAAATTCTTTGCCCAAAAGCAAATTTTCTTAGCCCTCTTGTGTTCTCACCCATCATCCTCAGATACAGTCATGACAATTTCTGAAACCTATTCTATTCCTATGAATCTGTCCTCTGACAAACTAACCCCCAAACTGTACTGTATAGCTGTATAAGTTCTTGTTACGTATGAAACTGTTTCTTCCAAGACTTACTACTAATTCAAGAAACTACTTAGCAAGTATTTACCTTTATTGAGAGATCTTCTTTACCTAATGTGAGTAATGTTTTAACTGGTGGATAGCCTTCACTTTTGCCTTCATATAATTCCACTGTAGCTCGCATTGAGTTCTGAAATTGAAAAGGAACTTTTTAAAAATCCAATATTTTTATCTTTTAATATTAACAAAAATAACTCTGTTTCTTGCTAAAATGACTAGCACAAATACATTTGTGAATGAGATATATATTCCTACTTAGGTTACTTATGGGCGGTATTTTTAATGTATACATGGTAAGCACAAGCCTCCCTAACTGTGTGTGTTATGCTGTCAAGTTGTTTCTGAGCCATGGTGGTCATATGAATTAAAGATCTCCAAAATGTCCTATCATTAACAGCCTTGCTCTGGTCTTGCAAACTGGAGGCTATTGCTTCTTTTATTAGTGCAATGATAATAACTGCTGTGTACGCTCTTGACATGCCAACAACAGTGCACTGAAATAAGTTAACCCATATGATCAAAATGCCACAGAGCTCTACAATGACTCTGTACCATGCTTTTTCACTAAATATTTTCATTTTAACACAGTTTGAGCCATGTACAATGTGCATGGTATCAGCCATCTAAAAGTATAATTTTTGCCTTGTAACAGAAACTGTTTTAGAACATTTTACAAAGTACAAAGGCTGCCCAGCTCTGCCTTGCATTTGAATATTCCAGAAAATTTTCTAATTCAAATACCAGTAAATAATTTAAACATTTAAATAATGTTATCAAATGTAAATAATGTTTTGTTGTTGTTCAGTCGCACAGTCGAGTCCGACTCTTCGCGACCCCATGGACCAGCTCCCGCCAGGCCCTCCTGTCTTCCGCTGCCCTCCGAAGTTGGCTCAATTTCATGTTTGTTGCGTCGATGACACTGTCCAATAATGTTAGCAGAAGGCAAATACACTATGTACAAGTTTGGACCATGTATAAGCATTTGGATTTGTGAAGATTTGAAGTCTGGGGTGGGGGAACTTTTTGGATTTCTCCAGCAGAAAAACTGGAACTTTTGGGGGAGCACTGAAAAACCTCCTTGGAAATATTTTCTCTTTTCACATGAGTAAAATGGATAAGGAAAAGCTTTTTGCACTCAAAATGTACTAAATGAAACCGTTTGAGGACTTTTCCATTTTTTCCCAATAGAACAATTGGGAAATCTGGGGAAACTCTGGAAAAAAAACACCTTACATCATAGACATATACATCATTTTTAAGATTTTTGTTTAGATTTAAATAATGTAAGCAACTTTTAATATGCTGTAATTGGTTTGGTGATCATACATTATTAAAGATTTCACTGTTTTCATTGTTATAAAATGTAGCTTAGTATCCAAACATGCTGGCAGTCCTACCTATTTTGATTTGAGACAATTTCTGCTTAAATAATATACTTTCTTTTGTTTACTATAGAACTTGTTCTCTCCTACCTCTCAGGATGGCAAAAATTAAAAACACATGTGCTATGGGGGCATAGGGTATTAGCAGTATTGGGTATATTAACAATTTTTCTTACTGAAAATGAATATATTTATTATTTTAAATTCCATAAATATAGCAAACAGTACAACTTATATGCAAACTAAGAAATTTGGCCTTGAGTAGAACTACATATTTTTCCATTTTCTTCAGAATCCCCCCCTCCCCCCCAAAAAACCCCAAGTTCTTTTCTGTGGCTTCAAATTTTCCAGCAATTTTACATTTCTATGTAGCACAACGGCCCTGGCAGCTATAGAAAGACTATATTAACATATATAATATGGAGATAAATATTTTCCATGGAAAAATATAGCATCATAAATTTTCCTGTCCCACATCCCTATTTGCAACATGTCTGTTCAATTTAGTGTAATGGGGCTGGGAGCCAATGTATAATAAAACCTCTTGTACTCTTAACAATTTTCCATGATGCCAGAGAAGCTTGCCCTAAATGAGCATAAATTATCATCAGAATAAATGATGTGTCATCATTAAAGGTATGTGCAATTTTTTGTTCACTAACTTGTATTCCTTTCTTACAGCATCACTTATCAAGTCTCACCTTCTGCATGTCAGACACAAAATATATTTATTTCTCTGTAGATTTTGTGAAACATATATAGCAACCATGAGAGTTATGTACTATATTGGAGACTGAGAATGACCTTTTACTTTTTACAGTGAATCCACTTGTGCACCTCAAGGCACATGGGTGATATTCCTCAAAGATGACTAGACACAGTAATTTGCAGGACTAAGCCTTTGTGAGATCCAGTGCATTTCATGAGGAGCCAAATCACAACCCAGTCCAGACTAGGGATGTGCATTTCGGGATCCCGAACCGAAAAAAAGCCATAAATAACGTTTTTTGGCTTTTTTCGGCTTTTGCAATCCCGAAATGGCTTCCTATGCGTTTTTCCGAATCCCGAAAAAAAAATCCCGAAAAAATTCGGGAAACCCGAAAAATTCGGGTCCATTATAACCAATGGGGCCATTGAAGTCAATGGCAAAAAACCTCTTGAAACTTTGCGGGGGGCTGGGGGGGAGGGGGAAGGG